ACGCACGACGTGCTCCAATTGTTAAATACAAGTCGACGCGAGACTCACACAACCGTGTAGCATTCCCCATCGCCGAATACGAGTCCCACCTGGCACTCATTTATCGCCGTTTATCGCCGAATACAATTTCAGCAGCAGAGAATTTACTGTGATCCACAAACACTCGGCAAACCCGCCTGTCGTCCACATCCACAATCACCTCATCCAAGATGGTCCTCCATTGAAAGCCACATGGCATTGCACTCCTTGCCACGTAGTCGTCTTGCCGGCCAAATACAAGTCCCATGTGTCACTCACCTATAGCCATTCGCGGCCAATGTTGGCAGAGAATATGGCAACCCTGCCTATCTATCATCCACATCCACTGAGAGGAGATACCGAATATCCAACTGCCACTTGGAGCTCCACCTCTGTTAAGAGTCTTCTAGACTCTTTTCAGAGAGCACTTCTCTTGCTTTCAGCCTTCTCTTTCTTGCGTGTCCTTTCTCTGAGGGTAAACTAACGTTTTCACCCGAACAGACCGCACCCCACATTCATTATCACTACATCGAGACTGAAATTCTGAGAGTAAACTAGCTTGTTCACCCGAATAGAAAGCACCGCACGTTCATTATCACTATATCGAGACTGAAAGTTGCCCCAAATTGCTACAATGGCCGTGCTTTTCATTCGGGTGAAGGCGGGCGTGCTTTGTGCTTTGTGCTAATGCGATAGACTGACGTGTGCCATTGATTGACTGATGTGCTCAGCGTTGATTGATCAACGACTTGCGTATTGATTGATCGATTGATTGGTCGATTGATTGATCGATTGATCGATTGATTGATTGATTGATTGATTGATCAATTGATTGATTGATTGATTGATTGATTGACGGATGGATGGATGGATTGCACAATTGTTACACTTCCGGATCTAGCGTTTACTACCAACAGCAGTGGCAAGCCGTTCATCTTTTTTTTCTATAAATAGAACGGCATTAATCCGGTTCTGTGGCACATGCATATCTCCCCACCTTATCTTCGAGCAGCATCAGCAATCCCACAATCCAAGGGTGACGATCACCACATCCAAAATCCCGACCCCAATCAATCAGGGGGCAAAAGATTCGAGGAAGACGTTCCCTCTGCAGTTCAGTCAGTCTACGGGGCTTATCTAGTGAGTGGGAGGCATCCTCTCTCTGTCGCTCGGGACTCTTGAGAACCCCTCGTGCGTAGTGTAGCGGCTCGAGAAACACCTCCCTCTGCAGTTCAATCGAGGGCACTTGTGTAGTGAGTGGGGGAGGTATGCTCTCTCGGCACTAGAGAGCCCTTTGTGTCTAGAGAGAGAGAGAGGTGTACTCTCCCTCTCCGTCAGGACTTGAGAGCCCCTCTCTGTGGGGGACCCAATCCAATCAATATGATATTGTTTTCTATCTGATTGACAGGGGTGTATACATCTGGGTGGAGTGTTCCTAGAAACTTCTGCAGGTGGTTGCGGTTATGTATTCGCTGGCCTCCCCTCCTAATCTGTCTACACACAAACAGGGCATCTAATCATGCCATTCTCGTTGCAATACGGACACCTGGACACGTCATCGTCCACGACCAACTTCAGGCTGCCGCTGCAATCGGGACACAAAACATATCTGAGATCTCCGCACCCTTGACAAGGCCCAGTGCTCATGCCTTCGAAGCCTTCAAGGAGTTCAATAAGCCCATTGTCGTCATTAAGCAAGCGGATTTCCTCAGTCCCACCAATATACCTTCCACGAATAAACACCCTTGGAACAGGCACAAGTCGTCCCATGAGTGTCCTCAACTCCTCTCTGAACTCCTCCGAGAACGAGATGTCTCTTTCGTCGAGCGGCACTTGCATGGTCTCCATCACTCCCCGAACGAAGTTGCAGTCTTCAAACGTTTTCCTAACTGCCCTCAACTTCGTCGTATACAACACCACCCTACCCTCTCCATTGGGAGGGCATTTCTCCTCATACGACTCCCAAACCGAGCTAGGCTTCTTCAACCGTCCTCGACTAGGTACTTGGGCTGGAGCTGTCACGCTTCTCTTCAATCCTCCTCCTCCTCCTCCTCCTAATCCTCCAGCACCTGCTGGTGTGAACGACAGATCGTCGCTGGGCATGGAATAAGGGATCACGCGGTCCAATTCCTCCCCATTCCCACTGGAGAAGGAACTTGCCGAAGCTGTCCGACTCAGCGGACGCGAGAATGATGCGCCTGTGGTGGAGCCGTTCGGTTCTTTGTCTTTCGTAGGCGCACCGATCGGGGGAGCCAAGGTAACATCCGCTGTTGTGCCGATCTCCCCCTTCTCTTTCGTTCCCGCCGCCGCTGCCGTCTCTAGCAGCGCCTCCTCCTTCTTCGCCGTCTCCAGCTGCTTGATCAGCGTTTCCACCTTTCCTCCCGCCTTTTTCTGGCGCTTAGACACCCAGCTCTTCTCTCCTGGTGGCAGCCTCCACTTGGACGTCGAAACCGGCTTCCCCTCCGTCAGCGTCGGGGTCCCGACCTCTTTTCCCTTCTCCTTATCCATATCTGCGGCTGAGTTGGCACTGTCCCGCCTTGTCGCTCTGCCAAAACCCCGTTGCGCGCCTGCTGATGACGTGGACTGCCCGCCGCTGCCGCCGTTAGCCTCAGCCGTCTCCGCAGGCCGCGCAGCTGGCGGAGCGCGCCCTTGCCCCGGCCCCGCACCACCGTGCTCTCCCCGGGCCAACTTCGACATCGACATTGCGCCCTCCTCCGCTGCATGTCCTCCCCCCCCCCCTTCCTTCTTACACTCCCCTTCTCCCCCCTTCCGCAACCAGCCATCCCCCCCCCCTCCAGAGGCAAGGGGATCTCCCCCTGGACACCACCGTACCCCATTTGCCACAGCCGGTCTCTCGTCGCTTATCGAGGAGCGGGAGGAAGCAGAAGACAAGGAGGAGATGGTGGAGGCAGCTCCAGGAGTTGCGGTGGTAGATGGATGGCCATCTTCGGAAGTGGTCACCTTGCGCGCGCGCGTCCAGTCCTCCTCCGCAATCTCCGCGAAGACTTCCCTGAAACTCTCCAGTATCTCGGGGTGCATGGGGGATTCAGGCGGAGTCAGGAACCCGGCGCTCCGCGTGTCGTCCGCCGGGGAGAAAGAGTTGTCGTGGGGTCGACCGTATCTCGAAGCGCCACGTGTCTCCCCCATGTTCGTAGCACCTCCTCCTCCGCCTCGCAGCGGGCTACGATGATAGCCGTTCGCGATGACTGGATATAACGGCGGACGGGATCGCGACTCACATGCATCGTACGGACGAACGATGGACGCAGCTCCGTCAGCCGCGATTTGCTGCCTCGCTCCCTCCCCCTCCCCCTCCCCCTCGCCGTCCTCCTCTTCTTCTTCCCCATGCTGCTGCTGCTGATGATGATGATGACGATCATCATCATCATCATCATCATCATCATCATCTTGCTCATGTGTTTGGCTTTGGCTTTCCTCCTGCTTCTGCTGTTGCTCTCGATAACGACCATCATCCTCCCCCAGCCTTTTCTTGCTATCATCGGGGGCTGGCGATGACGGAAAACTGCGCGGAACCCGCGGATCTTCGGCGTTCCGCTTGCCGTGAGACTGAGGGGATGGCGGCAAACTCCGTCGGGATTGCTGCTGCGGCGGCTGCTGCGCGCTCGGCAGCGTCGGCAATGACGAGGACGTCGGGAGAAGAACGGACGGTCGAGATTTGCCGGCGGCGGCCGCGGTGTCTGTTGCTGGGATCGCGACGGCAGTGGCTGCGGCGCTGCTAGAGCCGCTGCTGCTGCTATTGCTAGTCTCCTTACCGCTGCTCTTGTAGAGGGACTGCGGGATTCTGACTGGTAGCGGGGCAAGCCCACCGGCGAATGGCGACGAAGATACCGCCTTGGCGCTAGGGGTTCGTGTCGGGATCGGCAACATCTCCACTCCTAGCTTCGCATTCTCCTTCTCTTTCTCCTTCAGACTCGCTCGCACCGCTGCCACCGACACGTTGGAGTCATCCACTTCGTGCCGACGTGGCAGCACCACAGAGCTGCTGCTGCTGCTGCTTCTCAGACCGGACTCGATCGCCGGCGGCTTCGCCGGGTCGCCCTCGCCCTCACCCTTCGCGGCGGCAGCCGGGACAGGCTGCTGTTGTCCCGATAGCGGCATCGGGACAGTGGATGGAGTTGAAGAAGAAGGAGAAGCAAGCAAACGCCGAGGAGAGGGTGGCCATCTACGTCGAGGAGAAGCAGACGCTTTCGCCGGCAGAGAAGGAGGTGCAGACGCCGGAGAAGGGCTCGAATGGACGGTCTCCTCCGTGGTAGCAGGATTATCAGGCGATCTGGGGGAGGATGCGGATGGTTGATTTCCCCACTCCGCCGCCGAGGAAAACATCGGCGGAGATGGAGTTGTTCTGTTCGCGGAAACTGCCGAGGAGGAGGAGAAATTAGGGCTGCGATCGGGCGGAGCATGCGCGGAATTCGAAGCTGCAGGAGGAGGGGGAAGGGGGGGGGGAGAAGACAGCGGCAGCGGAATTGTGCCTGCACTTCGTCTGTCTTCTACTACCGCTGGTGTAGGCGGCGCATTTGCCTGCCGTCGGGGAGGAGGAAGTTCCGCCGCTCCCGCCGGCAACGCTCCTCCGAGAGCATCTTGCGCCGCTGAAGTTCCTCCTCCAACTCCCGCCCCTGGTCCTCCCCTCGCCGCGCCCATGATTCGCTCCGCCCCCTGCTGCGCATTGTGTTTCTCTAATTGCGACAGAATCTGAGAGGTTCGAGAACACCGCTCGGTTCCGGCGGCCTGGCGCTCAGCCAGAATCTCCGCCTTCCGCGACCTCCGCTCTCCTACCGCCGCCGAAGCGGACTCCGCCGACACTTGCGCTTGCTGCGGATGCCCCCCCCCGCCTCCCGCCGGCACCTCCAGCGTGTTCAACGCGCGGATCACTGCTTCCCTTCTGCTCGCCACTATCCCCTTCGTTGCTCCCTCTTTCGGGACACCTCTCTCTCTCTCCCCCCTACCCGCTCCATTCCCAATTCCACTACTACCCTCCTTGTCTTCCACTTCTTGCCCCTTGGACTCCGACGCGTCTTCATCCATCTGCTCCTCCGCTTTATTGACTTCCAGCTTCACCGCAACGCACCCATTAACCGGAGCAGTCATCGGCATAGCCGCGCTCATCAAATCCCCCCTCCCCTCCTTCTTCCCCCCTCGATCGCCATCATTATCGCGCATCACCAACGGGCCTTCTCTTACCCCTCGAAGCGAAAGGGAACCATCTCTCCCGCCTCCAGCCCGGTGATGCGCATTCCGCTGATTACCTTTGACCGAAACGACAGCAGCAGACGACTGCAGCAAATTCTGAACGGCTAGCTGCTGTTGATTTTGTTGCTGCTTCTGCTTCTTAGTCATCATTCCTGGCGCCTTCATCGCGTAATCCAGACTGCCATGGGGATCCCGACCACTATCCTTTCTATCGTTCTCATCACCGCCAACGCCGGTCACACTAATTACTCCAGAATTGCCAATCCCGCCGTCACATTCATCCAGATCTTTCATCAATTCCGACAGGTCGATGGTCATCTCTCCCCCAATGGAACCACCATCATCTATTCCACGTAACCGTCCTCCTCCTCCTCCTCCACCTCCTCCTCCTCCTCTCCCTCCTCCTGCTCCTGCTTCGACTACAACCTCTCGATCGAAATTGTCCCCCTTGCTCTCGGCGTGCGAAGACGAACCCTGCCGTCGTCTTCTTCTGCCCGCTCCAGGCAGGTTATTTCTCCCCCCCTCCTCCTCAACCCCCCCTTCCTTTGCCCCCTTCCCCATCTTCTGCGCCGGTTGTTGCCCTAGAACTCGAGATCCCCATTCATCCGTCGCACGCCGGGACAAGGGGGACTCCTCCCCGCTCGACGATGACGTCATCATCATCTTGCTCTTGCTCCTCCTCTTCTTCTTCATCTTCACCGTCGTTTTGACCTTCGTTGCCGCATCGAGAGTGCTCATCTCATCTAGCACTGACAGTGTCTTCCTGCCCTGCTTCTCATCTGGCAGTTGGCGGTCGCACTTCAGGGTGCCAAGCGTTGACGAGCGCAGGGCGACCTTGTGGTCCTTCCCGCGTATAATGTTTTCCTTATCCGCATCGCAGAGAGAATCGTCATCACCCATTCCGCCACCTCCTCCTCCTCCCCCTCCTTTGAGAGAAGCGCTCCACTTCCCCGCCGTTCGAGCCGTACCCCCACCGGTATCGAAGCCTTCGTCCTTGGCCTGCTTCTCCATCGCTTTCGTCGACGTGCAACCCATCCTCCTCCTCCTCCTCCTCCTCCTCCTCCACCACCACCACCACCTTCCACTACCTGTGCTGTTGCTGACTTTCTTCCGCTTTCCCCTCCTCCTCCTCCTCCTCCTCCTCCAACTCCTCCTCCTCCTCCCGTGAGAGTCACTTCCAACGCCTTCGACGAATTCCCCACACAAGCAAAACCGCTTATCCTCAATTGAACCTCATCCCTCTTTCCGGCCCTTGACGGTGCGATAGGGACCCCAACGACTGCTGACTGTCTTACTCTTACCCCTCCTCCTCCTCCCCTTAAATTTCCACCCCCGAGGATGGCTTCAGACGACTTCGACGGACTCCCAACACAAGCAAAACCAGTTGCTGTCAACTGTACCTGCTGCCTCTTATCGAGGCTGATCGGCCCAATTGGGACCCCAACCACTGCTGCCCTTCCAACTTTTCTTACCCCTCCGCCTCCCTCTCCTCTTCCTCTTCCTTCTCCCCTTAAATTTCTGCCGGGAAGAATGGGTTCAGACCACCTGGACGAATTCCCAGCACAAGCAACAACCCTTCTCCTGAATGGCCCCCCCCCCTCCTCCTTGGTACCACCAGCCCCAATGGGCCCAATAAGAACGTAGGAACCAATTACTAGTATCTCCCGAGCAAACGAATTCGCCGAAGCGACAATTCGTGTAGCAGTACAGCTATTACCGTTATCATCGATGAAGTAATTGCGCGATATCTCTTCAATAAGAAAGGCCATACTCACACGCGGGACTGTTGGGAACCCGATCGAAAGCGACCGCGGATGTCGTCGGACTCATTCAAGAGAATTCTCGAATCGAAAAAATAAAAAATAGCTCGCACTAACGCATTGCAGGGTGCTGAAGAGAGAACGAAAACGGCAAACGAGAGGTTGCCACGTGGCCGAACAAGACGGCGCATCAAAATGACCACCACCGCCCTGCGCCGGTCGACCAATTCCAGCCGCAGTGGAGAAGGAGGAGCCCCACCTTTCCTACGCGGCTCACACCAAGTCGATCTGGCGGGGAGAGGGCGATGGAGCGGAGAAGACCCCGACCCCGACAGCAATTCCATATCCCGATAGCATCCTAACGGTATATTTTTTGCGTCCAACTGGCCGCTCGATCAATAGCCCGGCTAATTAGGGGAGAAAGAAGAAGAAGAGAAGTTTAAGGCAAGCAGAGGAGAGAGAGGTGGTGGAGAAAGAGGAGGGAGAGAGAGAGAGAGAGAGGAGGTAGAGAAAGAAAGAGGAGACAGCAGGAGGCGAAGGAGATGACTCTCTCGCTCTTCTTCAACGACACGCCGGAACGAGAACTAATACAAATAACTTAAGCTTTACAACTGACTTTTGAATAGAGAGACCCCACACATCATCCCAGTACTACCTCTCATGAGAGAACGACACGTGTCAATCAGCCACTAACACCCCGTCAAATTGACAACCACGGACGCACAAGACAATCAAACCAAGTACCCACTGGCGCGTTCGATTACCGCGTGACAGGTGTAGACCAAAGAGCAGTACGACGGTAGGTGGTTCCTCCACCCTCCCTTCTCCCTCTGGCCAACCAGTTCCCCTTCCCCTCTCTCTCTTTCCTACCGCCCCCCTCTCCCTCTCTCTCTCTAGGCCATCGTGCGCAGGGTCTACCACTCACTTATGACCTAATCACACTGAAGAACACCGTAGTAACGAAATCAAACACCACATTACGACAATGCAAAACGGAGAGCTGCTACCGCTGACAACTGTGCAGACGGAAAGACACGGACACTGCACTAGAACTTCAAATTGAGCGGGAGCCTAACGGAACCTGACTAAATGGTACACCTGCTCGAGAGCAAAGAAACACGAACGACACAGCGCACCCTAACTGAAGGATAACGCGACGTCCAACAGTATCGTAGTACTGTGTAGAAACAACACACACACACACACACACACACACACACACACACACACACACACACACACACACACACA